TCACTGACTCTGCTTCTATATTTCTGTAAACTATTATTGTAATGCTTTTACTGATACTTTTCTAATTTTTCCACAGTTCTTATATCCGAATGCTGAACCTATTCTTATGCTTGTCGTCTTGGCAGGGACAGATGTGAATGCCTGCTTTGTACAAGTTTCAGGAAAATATCTACGTACGACATCCGTTCCACCAGGAGATTTTTGTCAGCTACAGCAACTTCCTGACTTGGATTTACTTGGATCCAGAGCTAGAATCATAGCAGGCGGCACATGTCCATAGCTGCTCATCTCTCCTTTCCAGCGTCCACCTCAGGGTCTTCCTGCTAATTGTCTCCACGAGGAGCTGGTTTGAGACACGCCTGACCACTCCTCGGAGCAAACCTTTTTTCGATGTGCCCCGCACACACTTTTCTTTTATTGTGCTGAGTGTGTGAGAGTCTGTCTCCTCTTGGTTGTGAAGGCTCTCCTTGCATCTGGCGATCCCCATTGGTGGGTCGAGCATGATTCGGCCATTGGGTGCTGCTTTGCCGGCAAGTTCATCAGCACGCTCATTTCCGTGCACCCCTTAAAGTATATGTAGGTAAATAAAGTTCTTTTAGCTTATGCATCTTTGATCAAAAACCCTCCCCTGATTGTTAAAGCTATGGAAATTACCTTGTTGTGCTAGTGAGATCGTTTGACATGTTGGCTCAAAAGATTTGCAGATACAGTGATTAGAGTAAACTTTTTGGTTTCTGACAAGGTGTTCATTATACAACCTTCATTCATAGGAGATTTAAAAGGGGAGGGAAAAAAAGACACCAATGAATTAACTGTCATCACTTTTTCCTTTTGCCTGATCTGCTAGAAAATCGCAGGTTGAAGAAGTAAGCCCTTTTCAACTTTCCTCACCCTGAATTTCAATTTCAGACAACTTGCGTAGACTGGGGGTTCTCATGTATATTTACTCTTTCCATTTTCCGTGATGCTTTCGTGGATTTTTTTCTTCTTCTTCGTTTTTTAAAAATGTTTCTTATTCTAGCTTTTCATTTACTAAACATAAAATCAACACCGACAAATGCACCCCCCCT